GACCAGCGTCCAGTCACTTTGTGACCAGCAAGACCAACTCCTTTTCACCTCTATCTTCTTCACCCTTGCTCAAATATGCCAACCACCAAGTGTATCACCTTGTGCACATGTGTTAGCATATTTTCATAAACGTTTTCAAGGGTGTTAGCAGTCCACTAGATCCTAAATGCATATGCAATGAGTTGGAGCATCTAGTTGCACTTTGATAACCGCATTCCGATACGAGTTTCACCCCTCTTAATAGTACGACTATCAATCCTAAATGTGATCACACTCACTAAGTGTCTCGATCATCAAAACAAAATGGCTTCTATCATTTATACCTTTGTCTTGAGCCTTTTGTTTTTCTCTTTCTTCTTTTCAAGTCCAAGCACTTGATCATCACCATGGCATCGCCATCTTCATATCATGATCTTTATTTGCTTCACCACTTGGAATGTGCTACCTATCCCATGATCACTTGATAAACTAGGTTAGCACTTAGGGTTTCATCAATTCACCAAAATCAAACTAGAGCTTTCAGGTCGTCAAGTCAAGACGAGGCGCCGATGAGGCCTCTTGTGCCGTCCTTGGCGGTTGTAGCGGTGAGCGGGTGGAGCGACTCGTCTGCTGCATCCCCATTCCCCTGGTAGGGAGCGAGGCCGTGAGTCGGTGTCGCGATACGGAGCTCTCCGCTTATTGAACGACAGCGGTCTCCACTAGTGCCCGGAGGTTCCGGTGGATCGCCTGATCCTGAGGGTCGTTCGGCTCGGGAAGACCGCGCAGAAGCATTGCCGCAGCGGCGATGTTCTGATTGGCCCGAGCGAACTGTGGAGGATTGTTTCCCCTGTCCATGGTGTTGCGCTGGACCCGACGGGCGTGACCCCGGGCACCGCTCGCTGGTTTATGCGCGCGGGGCGTAGTGTGGTGCACCGAGCGCGCTGGCGCAGTCGGTGGCTGGTGCAGCCACTGTTGTCGTAGTTCCTCGCTGTGCTCCCGTGTGAGCTCAGGGGTCTCCGCACGAGGGTTCAGAGGGGTGTGAGTCTACAAGGACTCCGTTGCCACCAGTGGCTGTCCCAAAGCGTCCGCCATAGCGCACTCGCGGGATGAACGGTGGCTAGGTGCCACGTCGCCGATGTTGGAACCGTCACTCTCAACATCGTCATCCATGAGGTCGAGGAAACAGGTGGGAGCATAGCTCGCCATCCCCACAAATTTGGACGTGAGAGGGGGCGGCGCCGGCATCCTTCAGAGCCCCCGGGCGTACGCGTCCGAGGAAGACATGAGGTCATAGGAGAACCGGTCGTATGGCGGTCGTGGCGGGGACAATGGGATCCCTCCGGGTAATCGATGGAAGATAGAGAGTAGCAAGTAAATAACAGCATGTATATTACTCACAGCGGGGTTTGAGCAGAGAGTTTGCTCGGAATGAAGCGCAGAGGCCTCATTGTTGAAGTCGTCGTGCGTCCCGGAGCCGATGGAGGGCGCCCCTCCGATGGGCGCTGGAACGAGAGCCTCCTCGCGGGGGCATAGTACGCCGAGCCAGTCGGCGACAAAGTCCAGGCTTCCGAGGAGGAAGGCCTAGGATGGCTCAAAGACGGGTGGAACCCACATCCCAACAGGTGGGAGTGCGGGAAACTCCAGTGAGCCGAAGCGAATCGTATCGTCTGAGCCCGCCATGGCGAAGGTGGCGAAAAGTGGGCCATCCGATAACTAAAAAGTGTTGAACGTACAGCGTCTTCCCCACGGACGACGCCAACCGTCGGTGCAGAAAGTGACCAACAAGTAAATATTTGTAGTTTTGCCGTACGTTGTGATCAGAGGTGGCCTAGCACTCAATGACACAGGGTTTATACTGGTTCAGGCAACATGCCCTACGTCCAGTTCGAGTCGGTCAGTGACTTTATTCCTGAGCCCAGGTGCTCGAAGTTTGCAGTGGGGTAAAAAACGAGAAGGAGAAAGATGGGGAATACAAGAGGTCCGGTCGGACTCTGGTCGAAAGGGCCGAGAGCGACAGGAGCTCCGCTATGAGCTAAGTGTTCAAGCGTGTGCTTGAGGTTCGAACTGGCGGTTTTGTGGTTGTGAACTAGTGAACTTGATCGATCTAATGAATCTGAAATCACTTGAATGTTGGGAGAGAGCGCACCCCCTTTTATAGATGAAGGGGATGGCCTTACAAGTGAGAGGGAGAGAGTACGTATGCTTCTAAGCCTTGTTGCTGACATCGGCGGGTACAGGATGATGGTAGGCGCCCACAACACTGTTGGATATCGGATGCATGTGGGAGGTTGCGTCGTTTTGTTCGGGTATGGCAGATGTCGGTACCTGCTATACTGTTGATGTTCAGAGGCATATGAGGGGTTTCACCATGTTCACTCGGTACGGTAAATGCCGGTGTCCACAACACTGTCGATGCCCAGAGGCATGTGGGGGGAGCCTTACCGTACGGGAGTTAATGGTGCCCACAATACTGTAGGAAAATGTCGGCGCCTATAACACTGTTCGTGTCAGGGAGGTTTGTAGAGTACTGTTTCTGTAGATGTACAGGGTACGGTCCCTGGTATCGTGGTTTGACTTGTGCGCATTGCCTTGCTTTCTTCGTTCGTTCCCTGGTCCTTTCCGAGCGGGCATCCCCGGTCGGTTGGTCCCAGTCGGCTCTGGTTGCGCCAGTCGGAGAAGAGCAGTGAGGAAGGTTTTTGTGTACCCCGGTCGGAGACGTGGGGTCGAGGTCAGAAGTAGTGCTTTGGCCAGGCCTTCCGGTCGGAGAAGCCGCCCGGAGGCGGGCTGGAGATGGATGGAAATGGCGCTCCGGTCGGAGAGGTGGGCCGGAGTCGGAAAACAGGCGTCGTTCCTCCTCGGCCAGGCCGTCCGGTAGGTGATTGGATCGCCCTTCTGGCCTGTTGTTCTGATACTTGGGCTGGCCCATGAGTTGCGCGTTGTCTGCTTGGACCGAGTCTTTGTTGGAAAGCCGGTCCGTGAGGGACCCCGGGTTTATGAACCCGACAATAAGTGAGACAGCTGATCTCGCCTAGGGATGAAAACGGACGGAAAACGGGCGGAAAACTTCTCTCCCATTTCCGTTTCTATATTTTTAGCGGAAACGGGATCGGGTTCGAGAAAAAATAGAATTAAAAACGGATGGGGATATACAGAAATACGGAAACAAACAAATACGGATGGGGAGCCGGAAAAATAAGTTAGAATAACATGATCAAATATTCTTGAGTATACATGAACAAAGTCACAAAATAATATACATGTACGAAATTATCGGTCCAATATTCACTAGTGTACCATGTGTTAACATGTTAACATGCATAATTTGTGATTAGTAGGTTTATGAACATATCAATTTCTAGACATATCTCACGTAGATTGAAAATGGGATAAAAAACGGAATAAATGCGGATCAATTCTGGATAAAAACGGGATCTCGCGGAAACGGATGGAAAAACCCTTTCCCGTTTTTGTAAATCGGGATCCCACAAATACAAAAACGGACGGAAGAAATTAGAAAACAGAACAGGTCGGAACAGAATTTTTTCCGTTCGTTTTCAACCTTAATCTCACCTCATTGCGCACGCTCTGATTGGGGAATGGCTACTTCACTCCACCATGGCAGCAACATCGGTATCCATGAGAAAAATATGTTCGGCCCTTGCAGAAATGCAGTGCAGATTCTTTTGAAATCAAGTCAATTTTTTTTTAACAAAAATCCTCCACAAGTTTTTCAATTGGCAATAGCACCGAATATGGGAATATATCAATTCAAAATTCATGAACGAGATTAAAAAGAACAAAAGACTAAGGAGTTGTCTGGCTTTCACAGCAGCAGCGGCTGGTTGCGTATGGCACAAAACACTGTAATACCATTGAAAATCGGGAAAAAAAATTCTATGCATACTGTATCCACTGCTGCGCCATGCATATATGGCATGGATGCCGGACATGTGTTGAACTTCAAAGATCCAACACTAGTCAAGAAGTGGTCCTCTACCAAAAATAGGCTCAGCCCCAGCCAAGCTCGTTCCGCATATCCACATACACCATAAAAAACCAACACATGTCAGCTATCCATGCATACATATCCATGCATGTATGCATGGCGCAAATATGGATACAGTTCCATAGAATCAAGCTGTTGCAACTTGCAACAGGGTATAATGGTTGCCTTAGCGGTCACCAGTTTACCGCAACGCACAATGGCAACCTCTTCAGCCCCGTTCGTTTGGCTGTGGCTTATCGTAAATGATCATAAATTTTCAGCCGAAATAGTATTTTTCTCTCACACAAACCAAACCAGTAGTACTTCTTCACGAACCAACCATGAAACGAACCAGCCAACCAGCCAACCGAACATGCTTTCATAAACGTGCAAAACGATTAGCTGCAGTGAATGTAAAATTATCATTCGCCAATAAATGAAACCATCAGCATAACGTCACATCTGAGTGTCACGACCACTGGCCGAGGTCGACAGACCATGTTCTCCTAATCCTCTCCCAGATATCTTCGGCTGGAAAGCCTACAGACCAGCATAAAAGCTCAATAGTACAATGATACATCCCAATCCATCTCCCATGCCATACCCATGATTACAATTATTGTATCTCCAGCTGCGATCCATCTCTTCCCAAGATCAAAAGGGACATGATTGTAATCACACACAGCTAAACAACAACCCACAGCCCTAGCCATCACTAGGATATTGGTGGATACACATCCAACATGCATAACCATTCAATCATAGACTCATACTAGTTCATAAGAGTTGGCGGCAATCCATGTACTAGTTAACAGCGGGCTTAGGTTATTCTCTCCCACGCACTAACAGTAACAGGGTTCCAGTTGCAAGGTGAAATGATACATGGGGGACCACAATATAGCAATATAACAAAACGAAAGGTAAGAAGACCCGATGATAAAAGGACACACGAAAATGGTCCTTGTACAAGCATCACGACTACCCCAAAGGTTAAGACTTAGAGAGAGAGATGGCAGTCACTTGGATGGTCTGGCTACTACTCATCGTCAGGCTTGCTTGCATCCCTCATTTCATCACTGCCATCCTCCTGAAACATACAGCATGATAAGCATTACTTACTAACAATAGAACTCCAAGTGTTCTGAATTGTTGTCAGCTATCCTCATATGATGATGAGGTTAGCATTACTGACAATAGAGAAGAATCCCAAGTGTACCACACACTAAAAAAAGTGTAAGGTTTACTGATGTACCTGCATGTCAGAAGTCCACAAGGTGAGGTTGTCACGAAGAAGCTGCATGATAAGGGTGCTATCCTTGTAGGACTCTTCCCCAAGAGTATCCAGCTCCGAAATAGCTTCATCGAAGGCCTGGAACCAAGTAGGGATATGATATGATGGATTGCATAAAACAGCATGTGCTACCTATATTGGCTAATTAGCAATTACTTGCACCAAAGCTTTAAGTACAGAATGGTAACCTCTATATCAGAGAAGAAGGGTTTTACAAGCATCTAAGAATTCAGTTCAGTGCCACAAACTCTGATGCAAGACAAGTTTAAGAAAGGCCTCATCTCATCGCAGCATGGGAGTACCAAAAGAGCACCCCCACTGAGATGGGCAAGCTGATCGCGCCCAACAAACAGGCCCCATTGCTTTGGGAGATTCCTGATTAAAGATATAGCAAGTTGCGGTGGATCCGGAAAGGCAGCATGGCTGCCCTCCATGTTGATGCTAGGCAGCACATGCAATGAGTTCATACATGTCAGTAGCAAGCAAGCATGTGGGGGGCTACACTGTGCAAGATACTTAGGGGGTGTTTGGTTTGGGCTGCTAAACTTTAGCTGGATAAACTTTAGCCCATTTAGTCACTTTTTACCTAAACACATGGATTAAATAGGACTAAAAGGGGAGCTAAAGTTTAGTCACAAAGGGAGAGCTAAACTGGACTAAAAGTCACGCTGCCTCACCTTTTAGTCACTTTGTAGCCAAACACCCTGACTAAAAGACCTCTTTTAGTCTCTTTTAGTCCACCAAACCAAATAGGGGGACTAAAATTTGGCAGCTGGTTTAGCTGGCTAAAATTTAGCAGCTTCAATCCAAACGGGACCTTGATAACAATCACATCTTGGAAGCATCCGGCAATTTGGGCCGGCATGGACGCATCGGATACGCAGCTACTACCACAGGGTGCGGGTGCAGGTGCAGTGGGCGGTGACCAAGGTGATTGGGGGCGTGGAAGAGTCAACACACGCCACCCAAACCAAAGGTTACTGTAAACCAAGAACAAACATTTTTACGGATGCAAAAGCGTTGAACAGTGCGGTGATAATAAAATAAAAAAGGAAAGTTGCAGAATATTATGGCATAATAACGCATTGGTAAAAAGGAGGTGAACCGGGCTAAATCAATCATCCACATGCACAGAATGAAATCCCAGTTTGTCCTGCAAATCTTGGGGGTTTAGTGCGTGTTTAGTTAGCTGAAATTTAGAAATTTGGCTACGGTAACACTTTCGTTTTTATTTGACAATTAGTGTTCAATCATGAACTAGTTAGACTCAAAACGTTGTCTCGCAATTTCCAAGCAAACTTTGCAATTAGTTTTTTTTCATCTATATTTAATGCTTCGTGCCCGTAGGGTAAAATTCGATATGGCGAGTACTGTAGCACTATTTGAAAAAGTTTTGAAACTAAACCAGAGCTTAGCTTAGCAGTTACAGTGTGGAGCAAGCAAACCAAACTAGCGATTTGAGATCTAAACCTACGCGCGTTTGTTGAAGAAATTAAAGTGAGGTGAGGAAGAACCTGCTTGGCGAGGGAGCAGGCGCGGTCGGGCGAGTTGAGGATCTCGTAGTAGAAGACGGAGAAGTTGAGGGCGAGCCCGAGCCTGATGGGGTGCGTGGGCGGCAGCTCCTTGACGGCGATGTCCTGTAATTTAGGCAGGGTTTAGGAGAGGAGACAAGAGATCCAATGAATCCACAACCATCTATGCATAATAACTGGTAGGTAGCAACCGCTACGGAGAAGAGAAGAGAAGAGAAGAGAAGAGAAGAGAAGAGAAGACAACAGGGAAAGGGAGATCCAATCCAATGAAGTGAACTAGCACGACCCACCTGCGCGGCCTGGTATGCGGCGAGCGTGGAGTCGGCGGCGTCTTTACGCTCAGCAGCGGTCTTGAACTCGGCGAGGTAGCGGTGATAATCCCCCTTCATCTTAAGGTAGAAGACCTTAGCATCAACGGCCGCCGCGGCGGGGACGAGGCGGTCGTCGAGGAGGCGGATGATGCCCGCGCAGATCCCGGAGAGCTCGGCCTCGACGCGGGCGCGGTAGCCTCTGGCGGCGGCGGCGTGTCCCGCGGCGCCCCGCGTCTCCTCCTTGTGCTCGATGGAGGAGACGATGCGCCAGGACGCCCTGCGCGCGCCGATGACGTTCTTGTAGGCGACGGAGAGCAGGTTGCGCTCCTCGACGGTGAGCTCGGAGGACGCGGCGGCCGCCACGACCTTCTCCATGAAGTCGACCATCTCCTCGTACCGCTCCGCCTGCTCCGCTAGCTTCGCCATGTAGACCATCTCCTCCCGGGTGCCGGCGGCGGCGGCCATGGGTGCGGGGTGTGTGTGTGGCTCGTGCGGGTTGGGGAGTGGGTGGGTGGAGATGGGAACGGGAGAGGGAGGGAGAGGCGGGGAAGGAGAGCGGCTGCGGTTTTGTTTGTTTTAAAACGAAGGATGATGGGATGGAAACGCGAAACGGAGGCGACGACGGCGAGGGGCTATGAATTGTCCTCCCTCCCCTCTTCGCTTTTTCCCTTTTCTCTTTTCGGAATCGGAGGCGACGGACGGGTGAGTTTCCGGAGCACAACAAAACACAAACGTTGCTGGCTTTGCTGCGTTGGAGATAAGAACGAACGAGCCAACAAGAGGACAGAGGAGAGAGAGAGCGGAGGAGCTAGAGCTTGGCGTGGCGCCTTGTGTTGTCGATTGGTCACAGGCCCGGCCCCCTGGTTGCTGCGGCTGCGATGTTGGGCCAGGCCATTCCGCGGCGGCCCAAACGAAACTCTCCCTTGTATTTTTCACTTCCATTGGGCCTCTATCCCGTTTCGTCCTGATTGGACCGGAGCGGGCTAGATTACCATCCCAACAGGCCAGGCCGATTTGAGCAGCCGCAACCTTACCTGCCTTTGCCTAGTGCTCAAAAAAAAAAAAAAACTGCCTTTGCCTGACCCATCCATGGGCTAGGCTGGCTACCTGCGGGCGGTTTCCGCACCCCGTCGTCCACGCCCGTACCGTGAGCACGTGAGGTGCACGGCACATGGCTTCGTGCGCCCCCAGGAACAGCGAACAGGATCCTGTGCGGTTGCCTGCCTTGTTGGCCACAGCGCATTCATCGACGACCAATCCTCCTGCACTGCCCCATGTTTGCTTCGCCCTCCCGCTGTTTCTCTCGCGTTCAGGGCCCGGGGTCTATTATTGCACCACCGGGTCATGTGAACTGATAAGCCTTCTTTCCCACTACTCTTTTTAAGAGTACTCCCGTAACAAAACAAAAAAAAAATACTCCCGTAAAAGGCAAGAAACCACGTCTACTGTCATATACATATTATATAGATATTACATATAGAAACCATATTTTCAACAGATAGTTGTTTTCAAATAATTTTTTTATCGAATAGTATGTCTTTCTCTCTACACTATCTACGTATCACATTTCTTTATATCTTGGTTCTTGTATCAATATTTTTTTTCTCGAATACGCATGAGATTTGCGTATCATTGCATTTAAAAAGAATAGAGTATATGTTACAAGAATAGCCGGCTCAGCCAGTTTCAGTTAACCCTGTTCGCTTCGCTGAAAAGATAAGCTGAAAAATATTATTCACTGATTTGTTGTAAGAGAAAAATATTATTCCTTCGCTGAAAAAGTACAGGTGAAAATACAAGGAACAGGGCTGCTTCAGGAAACACCTTGCATTCCGTTCCTTCCACACCTGCCAAGAAACAAACGCAAATAGTGAGTCGAGGCCCTTTTGATGATGGCCATCAACAAGCTTACGTATTTTGCGCCACCAGCTGATTGTGGATTGGGTTCCTTGCAGGAGCTAGAAGCCAAGCACTTGTAAGATGAAGTGCCAGAGTTCCCAAGTGAACGGACATGAAGCGATGGTGTGGTCGATTGTTTCAGGGGCTTGATCACAGAGATAGAAGCGGTCTCTTGCCTCGAGGCAATGGCGAGCTCGCCGATCCGCCGTCCAGTACCTGCGTCGCAGAGCCAACCAAAGGAAAATCTTGACTCTGCGACCTGACTGGCTTCGAGCAGGACGCGTTTTAGCCGCTGGGTTTAGGGCGCTGTGTTTATTTATCCCTTTGCTTGGTCCTCTGCGCGGTCGTTATATAGTTTCTTTTGTAATCACAACTGTGTGAGCACTGTCGGTGTTTGGTTCGGTAACCACAAATTACCGTCTCAATTTTAATAATTTATAAAACTTTTCTTCTGTTTTTAATAAATACCGTGCCAATGGCAAGTTCGAGAAAAAAATTCTTGACTCTGCGCGGCGCCCAACTCTTCCACATGAGCCGGTGACCATGGAAATTGACCGCGCTAGATTATATTGGAGCATGATGTATGCTGACTTGGTTGAGTAAGCGCCATCAGGTGACCAGCGCCATACGAGCCTGTCCGGCTGATCAATGAGATTTATCTGTTCCAGGATGGTCCATAGTTCCAAGTACTCCTCGATAGCTGTCTGCGAAAGGGCTCCGGCGATTGCGTGTACCCATTGCCTATTGGTCAGAGCCTCCTGAATTGATTGCTGCTGCCTGGTGTGGCTTGGTACTAGCTGGTACAGACATGGCGCAAGATGACTGATGCAGTTTCCATGAACCCATCGGTCTTCCCAGAATAGGGCCAATCGTCCATCTCCGACAGCGGTATATGTGGAGGCCCGGAAGAATGCCTGTACCTCAGGGGCTGTCTTGATCGGCAGCTCGCTCCACGCCCTGTCTTGGTCCGTCTTTTGCAACCACAGCCATCGGGTCTGTAGCGCGAAACCTTGGAGCTTTAGGTCGCTGATGCCAAGGCCGCCCAATTGTGTTGGTTTGCAAACTGTTGGCCAGGCCACCATACATCTCCCCCTAACCGAAGCATCACTGCCTACCCACAGAAACTTCTGGCAAAATGGTGTCTATCTCCTTCCTAGCCCATGCTAGAAAGATTTTCTGCCATCATGGCATATATTGGGACAGCGCGCAAAACTGACTTGATCCACACCAGTCGCCCACTTCTTGCCATGAACGATCCATGACAGGGGGGCAGCTTCCTTGCCACTGCCTCGACTACCGATTGGAGTTGTTCCGTATCAATATAGTTTCTCATCTAGAGAGCATTTCCTCTACCTCCTCCTCTTCACCCCTCTCTCTCTCTCTCTCTCTCTCTCTCTCTCTCTCTCAATTTTCTGCATCACCATTTTGCTTAGTTGCCACCATAATTAATAAACACAGAAGTTATTCTATGTTATAAGTTTGGAGTGCCCTAACTCTAACAAACTTCAGTACAAAATAGATATAGATTTCTATAAATTTTTGTAAAAGACAGACATCTTCTAATTTTCTTGCACATTTATGGCATCTAAGTCCGTCAAACAATAACCTAAAGTAACCAATAAAAGTCTACCCTCTTTGTTTTAAAATAATAACTACACATCTCCCTTCTCAGTAAGTTAAATTTTTAAGTTTTACTATATATATATATAAATATTATCAACATTTATATCTTTAAATAAAATTATTGAAAGTATATTGAATGGCCAATGTAATGATAATATATCATAATTATTAATATTTTTATATATATTTAGTTAAACTTAAAGTCAGATGAATAAACTATATTTAGACAGATACTATTATTTTTATTCTGAAAGTAGAAATAACCTATGGCCAGCTGAATACTTTGTGTACCTAGACATGTTATGTTTAGATACATTGATAAAAACTATATATTTAAGAAAAAAAAAGGTAACACGATTTATAATTTTAAATGATTGGAGCAAGAACCATGGAATAAATAAAGCGAAATGGGCAGTCATCATCACATCAGCGGCAGGAACACGCACGTACTGCGCACCGAGACCAGACGACCTTACCATTACCAAGTCCAGGTGATGCAAATAAAGGCTATATCCGTGGGTTGGTTTCTGAACTAATAAGTTTAGTAGGTACTAGTTTGTTGTAAGAGAAAAATATTATTAATTAATTGATAAGCACTGGCTGAATCAACGAGTAGACTGAAAAATTCACAGCCACCTGACTGACTTTACAGGGGTTCCAAACAGGGGAATTGATGTGACAGCAACAAAAATGCCATTTTTTCCTTCGCCGCATGGTAGATCTTTTCCGTTGAGCTAGCCGGCCGGCCGGTGGTTGTTTTGCATCTTACCACTAGCTAACAGCGTGCATGGAAAATGAAAAAAGCGCGGACGGGAGGAACGACCAATGGATGGAATGCTTTTCTTGTCACGCTATCCGTGTCTCAAGCAAAGCAAGAATGCATTTTGTTCGTCGGATTGGAATTGGAGTCGGTGCGCGCGCGCGTGGAATAACTCGTCTTTTCGCTTCTGCATGCGGATAGGATTCGTCGTGCCGTATAGTACATGACTTAGACTAAATGCAAAGGGACATACGCAATGCCGTCACCAGCGTCAGCTTATTAGCAGTGGATTATATGTATATACATAGCTTGTTGTCAGGCCTCTTTTTTTTATATATAGTGGCTCCTGGTTTCTATCTTCTACTGCCAGCGGTGGAACCAGCGATTTTGATTAAGGAGGGCCGAACAAATACGATGACATCTTTAAATGTGATAAAATATACAAAAGTGTATGTCTCAATATATTTTTAAATATTTTTACACTATTTATAATCAAAATCACAATATTTTAATAAAAAAATGGGTGAATAGTTACTTATGCTGTAAATTCAAAATATTTGGTAAAAGTTAGAGAAATTTAACTTGGATAAAGCTAAAATGACGTGTGTTTTACCACAGAGTGGGTACCTTATTAGCGCGACCCAAACAGTACAGGAGAGATAACAATGTAAGATTTGGTTTATGTTCAGCAATACTAGTATACTACTCCACTAAGTAGTACATGCATAAAACTTTGCTAACATGGTGGTACTACTAGGCTAGTGGCATCAAACCATTCCGGAAACAGAATAGAACAAGGCAGTATCAAATATCAAGTGGGCGCTACCGCTACCGCTACATGTACAAAACCCGAACCCCAATAAGGATGCTGTCGAGATCCCAAGCGAGCAGACACAGGCCACAAGTTCCGTGCAGCAACTTGTTTTTATTGTCAGGAAAGGAAAAAAGGGGGGCGAGCGTACGCAGGCAGCGCCGTCCGTCAGAAACAGCAGGGCAGTGCACGGGGGTTGGGTACTTGGGTTGCCTGGCTGGCTGGAACGGCGCAAACTTGGGTTGCCCGGGCCCCTGGAAAAAGCACGCGAGGCCCACGGTTTGGCCGTTTGGGGTTTGGGCGGTCGCGGAATGCCAGAATGTGCATCCAGACCACCCACGGCGCACCACGTACGCACGCGATGCCATGCCAAAGCTTTATAATCCGGGCCCGATCCAGCGGTGCAGCTGCAGCCCCCAAATTCCAGATTCCAGAGCGCGATCGACACCCGACATCGACACGACGACCTGCAAGAAGTCACTCGCTCACTCACCATGGCCGTGGCGTTCCCGCCGCACATCATGGCGCTGAGCAAGGTGCAGCGGCTCTACGACGCCTGCGACGTCGTCTTCTCCTCGCCGGCGGCGGCGCCCACGCTCGGGGAGATCAGATGGCTGCAGAACATCCTTGGTCAGTTCACTACTTTCTGTCGTGCCTATGCCTTGCTTCGTCTTCATTTCATTTCTTTTTGCATGCGTCCTGGTGTTTGCCGGCTGGTGAATGAAGACGACTCATAAATGTTTTCCTTTGGTTCAGATGGCATGGAGGCAGCCGACGTCGGGATCGACGACGGGGAGAAGCCGACGTCGTCCTCGTCCTCCTCCGACGACGAGCTGAGCTTCAAGAGCGGCCGCTGCCTCCTGCCGGCGCCGGCGTTCACGAGGATCACCTACGTGCACATACACCAGTGCGACGATTTCTCGGTAAGCAGGGGCTGCTGTTTAGCCGCGGCGGATCGAGCTTGTGGTCGGTTGGGTTGTGTTGTGTTGTGCTTGTACTGAATACTGATCCCGTCCCGGCGTGTTGCCTGCTTTCAGATCGGCGTCTTCTGCTTCCCGGCCGGCGCGACGCTGCCGCTGCACGACCACCCGGAGATGGTGGTGCTCAGCAAGTTGCTGTACGGCTCCGTGCGCGTGCGCTCCTACGACTGGGTCGCCGCGCCTTCGCCGTCGCCGTCGAGGAGGAAATGTGGCCTGGCCAGGGTGGTGGCCGCGGACGTGGTGCGCCGCGCGCCCTGCCAGGCGTCCGTGCTCTTCCCGCGCAGCGGCGGCAACCTGCACGCCTTCACCGCCGTCACGCCCTGCGCCATCCTCGACGTCCTCACGCCGCCATACTCGGAGGACCACGGACGCCCCTCGACTTACTTCACCGACGTCCCTGTCCCGTCTCTCCCGGGTTTCGCTGTCTTGGAAGAGACGGACCTGCCCGAGGGTTTCACCGTCGCCGGGGCGCCATATCTTGGCCCTGAGCTCACGGTCGACATGGATGACGATGACGACGACGACTACGACAGCTACGACGACGAGTAGTTAGCTGTAGATAGTTAGCTTCTCTCTCTGTTTTCTCTTTATGTCTCTCTCTCGATCGAAAGAGCTAGATGATGCAGATACTAGCTAGCTATAGATAGTTCATAGTTGAGCTAGCTATAGATAGTTCATAGTTGCAAGCACAAGCTCTCTGCAGATCTGTGCATGGCCACTGTACAAATTATTCGCCCAACCGACCGACGTGTCACGTGTGTGTACTAGCTAGGAGAGTTCTGATAGTAAAGTACCACTGCTAGTTCATACTCACTCCATATCGGATTTAGAAGTCATTTAGGACATGATTGTACTTACTAAGAAGTCATTAATTAAGGGGTATTTTCCCCTGTCTACCCCTATTAAATACGGCTGCGGGTGCATTCCATACGAAAAACAACCACAGTTCAAATGGCTAGCGCAGCGAGGCAAGTGTCCTGAGGTCCTGGGTTCGATGCCCTGGCGTGCACATTTTTTTTGTATGGCCTGCTCGCACAATTTTTGCACGGATGCATCTACTGGCGGCGAGATTTTTGCGCAGATGTTTTGTTACGAATTTTGGATCATGGCCTGCTCATTTGGGCTCCGTGGAGCAAGATTTCTGCTCGTTTGGGCTCCTGGCGGCAGATTTTTGCACGGACGCATCTCCCTAGCGGCGCGATTTTTGTGCAGATGCTTGCATGCCGCCAATTTTGGATCTTCGTCTATGCATGCAGCTGCTGCGGCTGATGCTTGCATGCCGCGAATTTTGGATTTTGCGCGGCCGTGCGTGCGAGCGAGCAAGCAAGGAGAGAAGCGGAGGGGACCATGGCGTGATTTACTATGGTAACTAAATAAATGAGCCCGTTAACGAAGGGTCAGGGGTATTCGCGTCCAAAACAAGGTTAGCGAAGGAAAACGACTTCCTTTGCGTAAATGACGCCGGTGCGTAGAACGACTACTTTTTCCGATACGGAGGGAGTATAGTCTAACACCGTGGTTTCACCAACTGACACCCTTGTAAATAAACAGACAGATCGGACTTCCTGCGTTCGTCTCTCCATCCCTGTTCTTGCTCCATTGTCCAATCCATAAGATATATTCATGTCTGTATTACATGTCATAGTAAATCTAAAAACATAAATCTTATGCTGTTAACATTTATATATTTTTTCAAATTAATGATCAAAGGTATACATGTTTAAATTTGAACAAAACTTTACAAAACAAATTAGTCAATTGTACGCTAGACACATTGGTTAAGAAAAGTCCGAAAATGGCACTTATGATGTGAAATCAAACACACGTGCCTAAAATGTGGTGTAGCAAGTTTTAATTAGCTAGCAACCAACCAAATAGACCGTTATCAAGATGCCAAGGCAAGCTCCCTGGTCCCGCCCTCCTCTCCAGATCTGACATACATTGGAGTCTTCACCAAAATCTCTATCCATATCTCCTACTCTCCTATATACAACTAAAAAGAACAAAGTGTGGACACTTTTTTTGTGCGATAATTTAACTTCACCTCATCGTCCTGCCCTCCCCCGTGCGACAAAATTTCGCGTTGTCGCTCTGCCCGTCCGTGCAGAATTTTTTTTGCCTCCCCCTCGCCCCCGATGCCGCCTCCCACCCTGCGCGACTCCCCCACTCCCTCGACGCCTCCTCTTGCACACGCGCGAATCCTCCTCCTCGATGTCTCCCCCACGGACGAGGCACCAACCCACCAGGCGAGGGCGCCGACCAAGGACGCCAGGCCGCATGCCTCCGGCACGGCAATACAGGCCTCCCACCACCGGCCACCAGGGCGTAGGGCCCGCGCGCACTCTTTCTCATGGTGACCGCCGACCATCGCAGCAGCCCTACGCTAGGTGCCTAGGTTTTCGTTGGGCCCTTCGCAATGTCTTCGTCGGACCCTTCGTCGGTGACGAGCATCCAACAGGTACGCCCATCCCTTCCTTGCTCTCTTTTGTGCGAAGCCGAGGACCCAAACCCTAACCTAAGCTATTTGGTGTACTCAGATCTGATCTAATATCAAGTCTACCAAATTCGATTTTCTACAAAAATTATCAAGTGTGCATATGTCCACCGTGTCCTTTTACTGGATCCGCCCCTATTGTTGGTCTTGATTTTGTTGATTTGCTCTGCAGTGATGGAGGGTTTAGGGATGAACTGCCTTGCGAATCCAACAGAAGCAATTGGATAGTTTGGTAAATCTACTAGCAGAGGCAAGCAGGTACTGTTGCTATGCACCTTTCGCTCAGTTTATAATAGCAAAATTGCTGGTAATTTTGTCTCGTCATGATTGACATAATGATTTGTACCCATACCTCCAGCTAAACTATGTACTGACTACTGAATTAGTTCTGGCATCTCAATAGTGTCTACAGTTTAATTATTCGTTCATAGAAACAGACCATGCTTTCTACACATTACGATTTGTGAAGATATAAATTATTTAATTATTTGTTCATCCATGACTCAAGGTCCTATGTCTTCTTTGCATTTGATGAAATGCCTAACACATGCCATTTTTATATTGCTTGTCTTATAGAATAGCAAATAAAGAATCTTGTGCACGTGCTCAAGGGACCATCTCTGGTTGTCTTCAGCCTCTCTCAAACACGATGCAAGTACCTGACAATTATGTTGGTATTAAATAACATATGATCTACTCAACATGTATAATTGGTGTTTGTTGTTTTTTCCATTGCAGGAAGGAGCGGTTCCTCTCGCTCATGGTGCTGGTCCGCATAGGAGGTGTCCTTGGAACCCCTCACCCCAGCGCAGCTGTTTCAGCCTGCCACACGGTTCCAGTAACTGCAGCACCCGCACTTCCATGACGATCAGCATGGTCCGTTCGAAACCCGCCTGTCCATGCGCACACTAGCCAGGTGAGAAGTTGTTCTGAGTCGTGAGTTATCATTTGGATGAATTACATGATGTGCTTCTTATTACGTAGCATACGTATCTCTTTGAATTTCTAGAGTGTGCACGTGATTGCAAACTTAAATGCAATACTTGACGTGATTTGGCTATATCTACCGAAATCCAGTAGAATTAAGGTAACTTTCAATTTTGAACCACAGATGGTTGCATATGATATCTTAGAGGGGAGGGAAGCTTATGTAGTACTGGATGGGAGTGTTTGCTGAAATCCCCCTTAATTTCGCATTACAAAGATTAGACAAGTGGACATGAGCAAAAACTTAGGCAGGGGAAATTCAATTTCTGCAAGCAGGAGCAATTGCATTTGCTACTGTTTCTCTATGACACATGTCCATATTTCTATTTCTTCCAGCCTTCTAGATGTCCTCACTTATGCTTAAGATAACAACAATAGGTATATATTAAGGAAACTAGTCCATCATATTATTTCTTGTTGGACTGCATGTTTTTTTTGTTGACATGAACAACATTGGAATTTACAAGGAGTCAAGTGCAATAGTATGTTTGTTTATATTACCTCTACCGTGATGTCAGCATGCCATTGATTATTATCCTTGTTCTATGCTCCTCAAAGCGAAGTGATTTATTATAATACTACTTGCAGCCCAATTGGTATTCACCTTCTTATTAGGCTCTAGAAGTGCGAGGTCGAGAAAAATATCTCTTTGTTAAGAGTATTGATCTTTAGTGATGGAGAAGCAGAACCAAATCAAGAGCAGGTCATCCAGAATCTGCTTTCCTTGGGTTGGGGAGTACGTTAGCTCTCCTTTAATCTTCTTCATGACCTTTTTAAAATTTAATGATGTGTTTAACTAGTTTTTTTATTGGGTGTAGGCTTGATTATTACCTCTGTGGTTACAGGTAAGGAAAGATATGGTTCACTGCTGGTGCATTTTGCATAGGCAGAAGGCTGATGAAACATATTGTTGCATGTAGTATATTGAAAATCATCTGGAGCTTTTAGATTTCCTTGCTGGTTGGTAAGGCTTCTAGGTTCACCGTCGAGCACATCATTTTGTTCAGATATCTTCTTTTTAATTTTTTCCTACAATCTCTATAAAGACCAGTAATTGAATAGTTGCCACCGTCGAAGGATTGAATTTCGTAGTAGAGTCACCATGAGTGTCATCAGAAACAAATCATTAACAAACCATGAGTGTCATTTTCTCAGGTGTTCCTTGCACT